CCTCCCACGACTAGTGACCTGTCTTGGCTGTGTTTTAGTGGACTAGTATTTTGTAAAATACAGTCACATTTCAACTATTATACATTTTATATGTATATAGATTATTACTATTTAGGAAGAAGTTCTTAAACTTATTTTTCTTAAAGCATAGAACAGTAAATAAATAAGTAAAATGAACAATTATCTCTTCTAGTTATGACCTTTGTACTCGGTTGCCCCTTGTTGTAGGTTGCTAAGACTTATGAAATTTCCCACATGGAGGATGTAACAAGAAATTTTTCTTAGGTTTTTATATATACATTTTAATTAAACAAAAATTCATAAATTACTATTTCGATACCATAGACTTCCACTACAATTTATCAAGCATAGTAACTAAGCTGTATTTAGGTCTAAAAAAATATGAAATTTCAAGCTTACTAAAGACTTACTTCATCGTTTGAAATATTGTGTGAAAAGAATGGAATTAGTACAATAACATGTCAAAATGGCTGAGAAAACCACTAGGGGGACATTCTGAGCTCTTGATTGGTTATGCATATCATATATAGAAGTACATGTATATAAGGGACCATTTCCAAAAAATGAAAGAGGTGGGGGCCACTGTGTTTGATTCAGTACAGGAGCAATATCTTAGCAAACAGAAAAGATAAGGCATTCTTATTTTATATTCTAGCTTGTCAATAACGGTAGTTTGAATTCCTAATTCGTACAGAACTGTATATTTTGTATTTTGACATCCCAAACATCTAATTTGAGCCAGTGCTGCATTCAAAATACCACTTGACACACAAAAATCGATGTTTAGCTGTGTTTTTCTAATATTTACTTTTAAATTTAGAAATTAACTTACATATCACACTAAAATTTAAATCATAATCTATAGTTTTATACCAAACTTATTGACATAGATTAATGAAATAGTAGTTCAATAAAATTTTGAATGCAAGTCAACAAGCGCGATGATATGGCCTTTGACACATGACCCATCGAGATAGGGTTAAACAACAATTTCTATGGTGTGAACAACTTTTTTAAGCAGCTGAAGCTTGATTATAATTATAGTTGTCACTAGTGTTAAGCCTACTGTATTTTTTAACATTACATTCTTTATTCACTCCCTTAATTTACAACAAACACAATAGTGTCAGTCAGAACACTATTTATAAAAGCTGTTTCTTACAACGACAACAACTGTTATGATGTACACACCTTTTTTAAGCTGATGAAACATGATCATAATTAATAACACTTGTTATTCAACATTAGTATTAAGTCTATTACATTTTTAACACTATATTTCTATTTAATCCCTTAAGGATTTTTCAAGAAGAACATTATATAATAGTATATCAGACACAAGTTTAAACATTACCTAAGTAATATAACCATTTAAAAAAAAGGCTCAGAATGCAAGGTGATTGGTTTTAGTTTCTAACATTACCTAAGTGATGCTCCAGCCACTGATGACCTTCCACCATTTGGTCAACCATTGCAAAGTAATGTGTGGATGCTTCATCATTCATCACCCAACCACCTGTTACTATTTCTAGTTGACCACTGTCCAAATATCTGCCATATAAATCATCCATTTTAACTTCAACTGAGCAGTACTAAACAAAAAATTTGGATATAAAGTTTTTTCATTACTACTAATTACCTAGTGCTTTATTTCCTTTTAAAAATTCATAACATCATAACTATATTTATAGAAATAACTTTTAAAGTAGTCTCTTTAAACTATACAGCTTTGTTTTCTTATATTAAGCCATAACATTTAAAATAAATCTGATATAAAACACCGAGAAATCTCAAACACATTGAGATGAACTGATTTTTAAATAAATTGATGTTCAATATATCCTTTTTTTATGATCTCATAATTATAAAGTCAGCGATGCTGCTAGTGAGTACAGAACATGTAATGTATCCTAGAGTTTGTAAGAGTTTTTAGTATCTTTGCAAATGAAAAGAGAAACCATATTCCACAAAATAAATCATTAATAGTTCTATATACTATGAGTTATAGAAAAGAATTATATCTACTATATTTTTTTCTTCTCATGAAATTAAATTTCTATGTTTTCTCTGCAAAACAAATGAGCATGTGCAGCCAAAAATGACACTGGAAGAAACATGAAAAGCATAATAAAGCTGTAGTAAAGAAATAAATCCAAGTATAAATCCAAGATCTCAACCCATTTCTTCAAACACTAATCAGCATAAATTTATATTATATTTTCACCTTTTGACAATTTTCTTGGCATTATTATCAATCTTTTCCCACCAGAGTGCAAGATATGATGTCTCTGCCCAAATAAATCTCCGCCTCTCATCTTCCTTCAATTTCACCACCATGTTGTTTAAAATGTGACGGGTCTGGTCATTGAAATAACGTTCAAAAGTTTTCAACCATCCTGTGAAAAGAACATATAACTAGTACCAAGTGTGTTCACAATGTATCTTCACCTACTAAGAACACAAAGATTATCCTAATAGAATTATCCGACATTGAAAAAAAATGTTCTTTATTAATTACCAGGATCATTATGAGAACGTGTTTATGTCTGTTCACCTACTAAGAACACAAAGATTACCCTACTAGAGTAATAAGATAATTCATACCGACATAGAGAAAAATGTTCTTTATTAATTACCAAGATCATTATGAGAACGTGTTTATGTTTGTTCACCTACTAAGAACACAAAGATTACCCTACTAGAGTAATAAGATAATTCATACCGACATAGAGAAAAATGTTCTTTATTAATTACCAAGATCATTATGGGAACGTGTTTATGTTTGTTCACCTACTAAGAACACAAAGATTACCCTACTAGAGTAATAAGATAATTCATACCGACATAGAGAAAAATGTTTTTCATTACTTACCAGGATCATTATGAGAATGTGGAACAACAATTATCTTCAGTTTCTTCTTGTTCCACTGTTCACTGTTGTACTGTATATTCCATCCCTGTTTCCACACTCCTCCATTAGGGTTGTCAAATTTTATTTTCTCATATTCATCATGCATCTAAATATTTCAGAATATGGTACACTATCAAATTCACTGCTGAGAGTGAAGTTACATTAACTTAGCACTAATGTAAGACTACTATTCTAAAATTCTCACAAAAATGAAGCAAAAAAGCAACTGAAATATCTTAGACACTTAAAGACATTGAAAGTAGCTTAACAAAAAAAAATCTGTTCTTCATAGATTTTATTGCAAGTATTTTTACCTTTACCATGTGATAAAGTTCTACATTTTGAATTATAACCCATAAAATTTAAGTAGAAATGATATTAATTGGAAAACATTCTGATGTACTTATTCAATATTATTTTACTGCTCCTTTAACAAAATAAAAGTATAAATTATTTTTATATCAACCAATTAATTTGAAGTACCTTTCAATATCCAGCATCACAGTTTATACTGGTTTTCGAAGAATGTGCAGTCTAAAAAAAAAAGGCATATATACTTTGCTCTCCCTGTAAAAGATTAAGCAAAACCACAGCAGTCTACGTGGCCCTATAAGGATGCTCCTGATTATCAAAATATGTTATCACACCGGTTAAACAAAATTCAACCTTCCTGACATATGTATCTACTCTCAGTAATTAGTGTTCATACACAATAAACTTTACTTCCACTTACCATCAGGACTTGATGAAAATAATCTGAATATAACAAATATCAGCATCTTTAGAAGGTGTTGTTAACTTACCATCAAATAATTTCTTTCTAATGTGCAAAACTAATGTAATACAGCAAGTTCAATACCTTTATCATGAAAGTTGGGTAATTAATGGAAGTTGATAACTGATTAATCATCTCACTCATTAATCAACTATATTAAAATAATAATCAAAAGCACTAATTTCAAGACGTTTGTTATTTTTGTGAGTCATGAAACTAACAATAAAGCTTAACATCTTTCAATTAACATAAAATAATAATGAGAAATCATAATGTCAATATTTTGATTAACCTGGATAGATGGAATAATCAACAGTACTAATGTCAATTAGTTCATCATGTTCATGACTTTTGTGATTGATTATTTTACCTGATACTAATCAATGTAATTGATCAAAGTGATTAATCAAGTTAATCACCGAGCTCTATTTACAGATAAGAAACTAATAAGAATATAATTACTGTGATGATTATGATGGACTAAAACAAAAGTTAAGGCTTTTTTTTTGTTGGAAATTCTTGATACTTGTACCTGTTTAGAAATTTACATTTGAAATGATTTCAAGAAGTATCAGCCTTATTATCAATTTTCAGGTACTGAATAAAGCATAAGTATATTCACACAGTAAATATAGCACATTGACCAGATAAAGTTAATACTTTACAGATTGATATAAATGAAACAACAAAATTTGACCAGTACATTTCTTAGAACTGGATCATTTTCCAGAACTCTTAATTTATGGCCTCCTGGTGATAAAGAAAATTTTATGTTGTATTTCAACTATTACATTCCAGGGATCAAAATAGTAAATTCCTGCATTCCTAATGAATTTAAATTTGCTTGAGGAATTTAATTTTTTTTTAGTTGGCTTTCCTGATTGGGAATTGCATGGTCCATCCGTATTCTTTCAGTTATGACCAATGAAAGTGAACATATTGCATGGATTAAATAAAAAACAATTCACAAGGAAATGCAACTTTAAATGAGAGAATGTAATCTTCCTAATAGCTTTCCTTCAAGTGAATGTAATTTCATTCCATTAATTCTATCCCTACATTAATTATACACTAATTAATGGAAATGTTAACATGTAAAAAACTTTAACTTTACTGTAATATATCTATTTAAAGCAGAAGAGCATTTGCATACAACCCTTCTCCATTAGTTGTCAAAAGAAAGATGCATATTCATAGCATATACTTAATCCCAAAGTCAAATACAACATGTTTTTCTTCTTTTGATAAAGATCAAAGACCATTCATTTAATGTTGTGAAAAATTCAATACATCCTTAGGGAAACTTTTATGGTACCTTTAGTCATTCACCTTAAATCCTCAATCACTGTATTTCATTAGAAGTACTAATCAAAATATAGTGCTATTACAATGTACGTTGTAATAAGTGTAAATTAGTCTCCACACCTTAGTAACATTGATAGATAAAGCCTCTTCCCTCCTGTTTTTATATATTCATCCTTCAATTTAATTTATAAATGTAAAATGTCAATATAAATGTTTCCATGAAAATTATTTGAAACTTATATGCTTATTTCTGTGAGAATATTGGTTTTAAAATTATATATGAATTTGGTCCTGACAGTTAAAACTAATAGTGGTACAGTAATTAGGACATGCATGTTATTTTATAAACACTGTGGCTTATTGTGTAATCCAGAGTAAACCTCAGCCAAGATCAATTGTAGTTAAAAAAGAAGTTTTTAAATTTTCAATAAAAAAAGTCTATATACCTCAATATCAGACTTCACCAGAGGTAGGCCACAGAAGTGACAGTCTTCCATCATTACATGGGCAGAGCTGCGGTTAAGCCTTGAAGTGAAGGAATGAGAGTTCCCCAACAACAGGTATGAATCTATTCCCCCATATGAGCTGTCCTTTGTGAGCTCCCGAACTGTTTCCTTGATTTGACCCAACATTTGTCGGTTATTCTGTAGTTCTTCTTCTAACCGCTGGAGTCTCTGTTCTAGAAGACCCAATTCATTCTACAACGAAAATTGAGTTCAAATTTTATATAAATATTGTCACAAACACAAAGGATTCAAAAAGACAGCATTCTGAAACAAAGTCTTAAACTTAATTTTGTGAAGAGTATCATAAACTACTGAAGCATTTCAGGAATACATATTTGTTACTTAAACATTCTTCCGTAACTTTCCACTTACTAAATAAAATCTTAATCTGTTATATTACTTACGAGATTAAATTCCCATGAGTTTGACACTATATTAATGCTGGTGTTTGGAAACAAGTTATTAAGAGCTGGGTGATTAGCAGAATTTGATGATCGATTAATCGTTGGACTCATTAATTGATTACATTCAACTAATTGATTATTCTCACACAAGTTAACTAAAAAATCTGACAAAGCTATAAATCTGGTTCTGATGCTCATAGAGGGCACATTGTGACAGCCCATTGTGTAGCTTTATCCTTAACAAAAACAAACATAATGGCAATACTGAAGTTACTTGAATGGTTGAAATAATAGAAAAACAATAATAATAATCAGAAACACTAATTTCATTAGTTAATTATTTTTGTTACATTAATCACTTTAATCCTAACTCTGATTATTGATTAGTTGGAATAATCAAAAGCAGTAATAACTGGAAATGCTAATTTGTTATTTTCATGATACTAATTGATGTAATTAATGGTCATCAGTAATTGATTATCTTAATTTATCAAGTTAATCATTCAGCTTTATAACCTAATACCATGTTATGTACATATAATTTACTAAATTCAAACAGATGACCTAAATCTATCTATGTAAAAGTTGTAAAAAGATCAATAACTAGGAATAGTTTATTACGTACATAGATAACCATACAAAGAACTTTCGGCAGTACCTAAACAGACTACTTGAATTGGTCTGTCTAAAAGATTCAAACAAAACAATAATTGGGAATATTTTAGTACATAAAAAGATAACAATACAATCAATTTTTGACAGTATCAATGGTTAGATTTCTTTAATTATCCAAATCATTTTTTCAGCTACATACTAATTTCACTCTCCTAAACCAGTACAATGTTTTATATTAAGTACCTCTGTCTATCCTTGGAAAGAATGTATACTTAACTATGCAGTTAATACTTTGTTGTATTTTCAAAAATATGGTTGTTTAATTTCTATTCTATACCTCTATAGTCTACAAGTGTTCTTCCAAAGAGTCAATAAGAAATAGTTCTCTTAATGTTGATTAAATCTATTCATAAGAGTGGTAAAATCTTTCAATTCAAATGATAGTCTCTATTTTTGGAAGTGATGAGTTTATTGATGATGTAGTTAAAACTTAAAACAAGTAACATAACAAGAAAACACTAAGAACTTAGAATAAGACTAAATATTTTTCTCTTAAGATTATTTGCTTGTAAGAGTTTTTTCCTCATCACCTGCTACATGCTGAAAATATGGATTTTTTGAAATTTTTTGTTCAATAAAAGCACGAATGGAAAAGATTACATGACTATGTGCTTGCCTAGAGCTTTTAAATCAAAATTGACACTGACTGACTAAAAGGTCTATCATAATAACGTTTATCTCTATATCCCTGAAATCCATGTTTGATGAAAAATGTATTACTGAACCTTTTAATACAAAAAAAGATTTGTATTTGTAATATTTTATTTCATATTATAATTCAATCTATCAAGCAACAAAATATGCCAGAACTCAAAACTTTATCCTCAAATTAATGACTTGTTTTTATACCATTTACTGACAGTGAATGGTATAAAAATATGCATCATATTCAGTAGCCTTGTTTTTTCTGTTACGATACTCAAGAGTTAAGAGCTGACCAAAAAAATAGAGGCAATATAACTAATCATTGGGATTAACTGCAATAGTGAAAGCATTTTTGTTTCATTTTTTTGTTAGCAATTCTCCAATTGAAGCAGTTTTATTTTTATAAGTGGATGATTGACTCATGAAATGAGGTGTCTGTTGGCAGTATTGTAGACCAGCACTATTAAAGAAGTTTAAAAGGGGAATCATTGATTTCCTGAAAAATAAAAGGTGGGTTTAACTTTTTACTCTTCTCAAGGGTGAGTATGCAAGGACAACCTTGAAAGATCAAATACTTCTGAGATGTCTGTAAGTTGCTACTGCAGGTCCTGTAACTAACATAGTCATGATCATAGACACACATGCAATTTGATGCATAAGCAGTATAAAAAAATATTTATAAAGTAAGTGGGATCCATATATAGACTCTGTCAATAATTTTACAGTTTAAATAGTCAACAATACGAAACTTCTACTGTAATCACAAATTGAAAAATTCATATTTCATAAATTATCTTACCTTTCCTACATTTTGTTTATCAAAGGTTCCTGGGATAGAATTAATATTCTGACTAAACTGTCCTTCTTGATCATTTAACAAATAAAGGAGGCCAGCAGCAACAAGTAAACACACTGCAGCAGCTAGAGCAACAGTTCTCCTGAACTGAATGACTGATGAGCCTAGTCGAATTCGTATCATAGTGGGTTTGATTTTGCTAAATCTCAGGATATGCTTCACATTTAAGGTGAATAAGACAATAAATAAAGATGTCCTAACTATAATATAAATTTAAACAATCTTTTTACAAATTGTTTAATAGCTATATGTATTTTTTAAATTTTATAAAATGATAATATTTAAATCTTTCCAACTATTTTAGTTTTTAGTACCAATCCTGTACAAATTAAATGAATTTAATTTTTGTTCTAAAATATTGACTGTAACAAGTTTAAGTACAACTTAGTCTACTGAATTTGACAATTCAAATGAAGGTAATGTCGCTAACGTTAACCTATTCTCTATCCATAAATCATGCTTCATTGTCTTCAAACTTTCCCATGTTCAGATTTTACAATCACATAAATATATACAGGATCCGCTTTACTCATGCAGCCCAAACAAAAAAGACAAAGTTTAACCACACTAGTCATTTCTAACATTAAAAAATAAGTTCCGGTTAAGACGATTTAGAACTCGTGACTACGTTCAGTTAAAACTTAATCCTGGATAGAAACACCGCAGTACCACGTAGCTCTGCTTCGACACACTTTTATTAAAGAACAAGTGATTTACTGTTGAGCTGCCAGTACCAATATGACACAGCTCACGACTAACTAACTGTTGTTTTAAAAATAATGTTTACGAAACAATTAATCCTTAATCAAACTAATACGACAGTTCGGTTTCTTCCATATCACAAAACAAAAGTAAACGACGTAAACTACTTCACTTTTGATATCCACGTCTAAAAGTTAACAGGAAATTTACATCCAGAGTGATCTGGCTAAATGCAAACACAAATGTACTAAGCGACCTCTAGTTAACATAGTACCTAAAAACAGATCATTATATTGATTTCAGCACAACTATAAACAGAATGCTTGCTTTTAGACTATTTTAGAAACTAAAAATGCATTGTTTTACACAATAGATAATTTAAAATACTAGAATATACAAATAACTGATTCGAGAAAAGCATGTACATGAAATTTATGAAAATAAATCATATTCAAAATGCTACTAAAAAGTGTAACAAAATCAAATGATTGCTAACTATGAAATTAAATTATAACTAAGCCAAGAAAGCGTTAAGAGCAACATAAAGAAACAGCACTAAACATTTTTTTATTAGCGAACTGGCTTGATAGTCATCATGTATGAAATTTTATCTTCCAGACGCTGTTTTACAATTTGAATTCAATGCTTCCTATAAAATTTTTCTGATGATACTTTTTTTTTCGTGTACCAAAGAACATTTCAAGTGCATAACAAGGTCATAAGTTGACTATTGTTCAAACGTTATAGAATAAAAACAACAAAAGAAAATAAATTGACATTAAAATTCGATGACGAGGAACCCATTTGAGACTAATAATGGTTGGAGACGGCTTGAATGGGTAATGAAGAAAAACTTT